CTGGTGCCCCTCGCTCCCGACATGCAGCCCCCCGCTAGCCCGGCCCTGCCCCCCCATAGCCCTGCCTCCCCCCAGCTCTGCCGGTGCCCCTCACTCCCGACCCGCAGCCCCCTGCCAGCCCAGCCCTGACCCCCCCACCAGTGCCCCTCACTCCCGACCCACAGCCCCTCACCGGCCTCGCGGGAGATCTGGACGAAGGCCTCCACCCCACTTTCGCCGTAGTTGCCCTCGGAGGCAAGTGTGGAGACGTAGTTCCAGCCCAGCGCCTTCACCACGTCCAGCATGGCCTGGGCCTGGTACGAGTCGGGCGGCACCACCCGGGAGAAGTAGTCATAGCGATTGTTGTCGCTGAGCTCGGGGGCGGTGGAGGCATAGCTGATCTGGGGGATCTGGGGGGGCAGAAGGGCAGGAGATGGACAGGGGGCGCCAAGGGGGCACCTGGCCCCTGCACAGACCCAGGGCACCCAGGAGCTTCCGGAATCATCAGCGGAGACCCGTTAGCCAGGGTGGAAGAAGATTGGTGGTAGAGCTGGGGTAGAACCCAGGAGTCCTGGCTCCCAGCCCCCCTCTGCTCTAACCACTAGACCCCGCCCCCCTCCCAGAGCTGGGGAGAGAACCCAGGAGTCCTGGCTCCCAACGCCCCCCTGCTCTAACGCACCAGTCCCCACTCCCCTCCCGGAGCCAGGGGGAGAACCACTGTAACTGGGGTACATCTGGGATATCAGTCTGATTTTATCCATCCCCCCACGTCCAGGAGACACCCCCCCCCCAGCTCCCCGCCCCGGCCACTCACGGCGAAGAGCCGGAGGACGTTGGCCACCATGATGGAGACGGAGCTGGCGGAGGCGCCGACCACGGCCACGACCCGCTCGGGCCGGGTGAGGAGTGGGGGCCGGCCGTCGGCGCAGCGCACGTCCGATGTGTCCTTCTGGATCAGGGCCTGGACGAAGGTCAGCGACTGCTCCAGGGCGTAGGTGTCCCGGGAGCAGGTGTCCAGGATGCGGGCGCCCAGGGTGAGGTTGGGGAGCAGCTGGGGGTCGGCGTTGATCTGGTCCAGGGCGTAGAGCATGGCCTCCATGCGGTGGATCCCCTTCTCCTTCTTCACCTCGCCGCACGGCACCCCGGCTGGGCCCCGGGCGTGAACCGGGAACAGGCCCCCCAGCGTCACGTCCCCCTCAATCCGGATGGAGAAGGGCTGGGTTCCTTGTTGGGCCCCAGCCCCCCAGCCCCACAGCAGCAGCAGCAGGGGGGGCCACGGCTGCCCCATGGCTGGGCTGGCCCTGAGTGCTTCACGGCCTGGAGGGGGAAGGAGGGCGGGGAAATGGGGCTAGCCGCCGGCTGGATGGGCCCCGGGAGCCAGGGGCTGGTTCACTCAGGCACCGTCCCTGGGACACCTTGTTGTTCCGGGTCCCCCGGCATGTGGCCAGCGCCGCCCCCCCCATTTGCCCCCGACCACTGGCCAGAGCGAGACCCTCCCCGCCATGGCCCTGGAGAGATGGAGGCTGTGAGGAGGGGCAGCTGGGCTGGCCTGGAGTGTAGCTATCGATCCTCACACCCACCATCTGTCCCTCTGCCCCTCCATCCATCCATTCCACTACCCGTCTGTCCATCCATCCATCCATCCATCCATCCATCCATCCATTCCACTACCCGTCCGTCCGATCCATCCATCCATCCATCCATTCCACTACCCGTCCGTCCATCCATCCATCCATCCATCCATCCATTCCACTACCCGTCCGTCCGTCCATCCATCCATCCATCCATCCATCCATCCATCCATTCCACTACCCGTCCGTCCATCCATCCATCCATCCATCCATCCATCCATCCATCCATCCATTCCACTACCCATCCATCCATCCATCTATTCCACTATCCATCCATCCATCCATCCATTCCACTACCGTCCATCCATCCATCCATCCATCCATCCATCCATCCATTCCACTACCCGTCCGTCCATCCATCCATCCTTCCATCCATTCCACTACCCGTCCATCCATCGCCAGACACCCCATCCATCCTCACACCCACCATCCCCCCATGCACCCCTCCATCCCTCCCTGCTCACACGCCTGGCGGCTGTGGGGTGAGTTTCTCACCATCCCACTGTCCATCCGTCGATTGATCTGTCCACTCCCTTTGTTCTTTTCACCCCTCCCCCCCCGTGCCCGTTCCTTGTCAACAGCCCCCCCGTGACACCCCGGGGCGGGGCAGAGCAAAGGCCCTGTAGCCCCCCCCAGCCCCAGATGGGGTGTCCAGGAGGCAGTGGCTGAGCCGGCGGGCTCTGTGCCAGGGTTAAATGAGCTGGGGGGATGCCTGGAGCTCCCATAATGCACCGGGAGGAACCAGAATCCTGCCCCCCCACAATGCACCTGGGGGAAGTTGGCACCTCCCCCACCCCATAATACACCATGTGAACCAGAAGCGTGGCCCTGCAGACTCTGAACCCCCAGACCTCCAACGTCTCCCCTAGATCAATCCCCTGAACCCCCAACATCTCCCCCAGATCGACCCCCTGAACCCCCAACATCTCCCCCAGATCGACTTCTGAGCCCCTGAACATCTCCCCCGGTTCGACCCCCTGAACCCCCAACATCTCCCCCAGATCGCATAGCGATTGTTGTCGCTGAGCTCGGGGGCGGTGGAGGCATAGCTGATCTGGGGGGTCTGGGGGGGCAGAAGGGGCAGGAGATGGACAGGGGGCGCCAAGGGGGCACCTGGCCCCTGCACAGACCCAGGGCACCCAGGAGCTTCCGGAATCATCAGCGGAGACCCGTTAGCCAGGGTGGAAGAAGATTGGTGGTAGAGCTGGGGTAGAACCCAGGAGTCCTGGCTCCCAGCCTGATATCTTGAGCTGGGATACGCCCCCCCATCT